CACAGGAGTCTGTTCAATTCTGTTCTATTGGACAAATTGCATATACATTTTAGTAATTTAGCTGACGTTTCTATACAGAGGGACTTACAGGAACAACTAGGGTTAAGTGTTTAAATAAATGTTACTTTTTGTCCAGAAAAATAACATTATTGTTATTTGATTACATGGGTGGTCAGATTTCCTGAGCGCTCATAACATCTCTGGGATAAATATTATTAGAGTATTCTAAACCTCAATGATCCTTGTTGGATTGAGAACAGAAGGGAAAACTCTTGCCATTTATTGTGAAACTGCAGGAATCTTCCCCCATTAGAGAAGGCACGTTTGTGTCAGAACAGATATATTTGAGTCAAGTTTAAAACTTTTAGCTATAAGTCTTGGGAACATGGAGACCACACCTTTAGTGTAATGTATTGAAAAGTATGCAAGCACTTACAAGACTAATACACATTAGTCAGCAGGGATTGAATCATACGTCATGTACCATGCCAAGAAGTCCATGTGAGTGATAGGCACATCCTACTGCCATTGTCACGCCCTGGCTCTGGGACTCTGTTAAGTTGAGCAAGGGTGTGTTGTTTCTATGTGTTTTGTGTGCTAGGGTGATTATCTAGTTCATTTGTTTCTATGTTGGCCGGTGTGGTTCTCAATCAGAGGCAACGTGTATCAGCTGTTGCTTGTTGTCTCTGATTGGGAACCATACTTAGGCAGCCTGTTTTCCACAGTGTGTTGTGGGATCTTGTTCCGTGTTGGTTTGGTGTTGTAGACCAAGGACTTCACGTATCGTTTGTTGTTTTGTTTGTGTGGTGACATTAATAAAGAAGTATGTTCACTTATCACGCTGCGCATTGGTCCACTGTATTCGACGATCGTGACAGCCATCAATAAACTAAACTCAGCAAAAAAAGAAACGTCCCTTTTTCAGGACCCTGTCTTTCAAAGATAATTCGTAAAGATCCAAATAACTTCACAGATCGTCATTGTAAAGGGTTTAAACACTGTTTCCCATGCTTGTTCAATGAACCATAAACAATTAATGAACATGCACCTGTGGAACGGTCATTAAGACACTAACAGCTTACAGACAGTAGGCAATTAAGGTCACAGTTATGAAAACTTAGGACACTAAAGAGGCCTTTCTACTGACTCTGAAAAACACTAAAAGAAAGATGCCCAGGGTCCCTGCTCATCTGCGTGAATGTTCTTTAGGCATGCTGCAACGAGGCATGAGGACTGAGGATGTGGCCAGGGCAATACATTGCAATGTCCATACTGTGAGACGCCTAAGACAGCGCTACAGGGAGACAGGACGGACAGCTGATCGTCCTCGCAGTGGCAGACCACGTGTAACAACACCTGCACAGGATCGGTACATCCGTACATCACACCTGCGGGACAGGTACAGAATGGCAACAACAACTGCCCGAGTTACAACCAGGAACGCACAATCCCTCCATCAGTGCTCAGTCCGCAATAGGCTGAGAGAGGCTGGACTGAGGGCTTGTAGGCCTGTTGTAAGGCAGGTCCTCACCAGACATCACCGGCAACAACGTCGCCTATGGGCACAAACCTACCGTCACTGGCAAAAAGTGCTCTTCACTGATGAGTTGCAGTTTTGTCTCACCAGGGGTGATGGTCGAATTGGCATTTATTGTTACATCGAGGCCTGTACTCTGGAGCGGGATCGATTTGGAGGTGGAGGGTCCGTCATGGTCTGGGGCGGTGTGTCACAGCATCATCAGACTGAGCTTGTTGTCATTGCAGGCAATCTCAACGCTGTGCGTTACAAGGAAGAAATCCTCCTCCCTCATGTGGTACCCTTCCTGCAGGCTCATCCTGACATGACCCTCCAGCATGACAATGCCACCAGCCAAACTGCTCGTTCTGTGCGTGATTTCCTGCAAGACAGGAATGTCAGTGTTCTGCGATGGCCAGCGAAGATCCCGAATCTCAATCCCATTGAGCACGTCTGGGACCTGTTGGATCAGATGGTGAGGGCTAGGGCCATTCCCCCCAGAAATGTCTGGGAACTTGCAGGTGCCTTGGTGGAAGAGTGGGGTAACATCTCACAGCAAGAACTGGCAAATCTGGTGCAGTCAATGAGGAGGAGATGCACTGCAGTACTTAATGCAGCTGGTGGCCACACCAGATACTGACTGTTACTTTTGATTTTGACCCCCCCCCCCCCCCCCCCCCCCCTTTGTTCAGGGACACATTATTCAAGTTCTGTTAGTCACATGTCTGTGGAACTTGTTCAGTTTATGTCTCAGTTGTTGAATCTTGTTATGTTCATACAAATATTTACACATGTTAAGTTTGCTGAAAATAAAGGCAGTTGACAGTGAGAGGACGTTTCTTTTTTGCTGAGTTTATATGAAGAGAAAGAGAAAGAAAGTGCTTAACGTTCGGGAGGAACGCATTGAACCAGGTGCAGGTCAGATTGAAGCACTTGGGAGCAGAATATGCCATGTGCAGGGGGTGGAGCTCATCACACATCAGCTACTACAGTGGAGAAATGACTGTTGTGCATCTAACAAACCTGAGTCAGATACACACTGCATGTTAAAGGCCCAGTGCAGTCAAAAATGTTTTAGTTTTATATACAGTGCCTTCAGAAAGTATTCACACCCCTTGACTTTTTCCAAATGTTGTTGTGTTACAGCCTACATTTTAAATTGATTAAATTTAGATTTTTTTTGTCACTGGCCTACACACAATACCCCATAATGTCAAAGTGGAATAATGTTTTTCCAGTAAAACAAAAAAATGCATTAAACATTTAAAGATGTCTTTAGTCAATAAGTATTCACCCCTTTGTTATGGCAAGCCTAAATAAGATCAGGTGTAACCATTTGCTTAACAAGTCACATAATAAATTGCATGGACTCACTCTGTGTGCAATAATAGTCTTTAACGTGATTTTTAAATGACTACGTCATCTCTGTACCCCACACATACAATTATCTGTAAGGTCGAGCAGTGCATTTCAACAACAGATTCAACCACAGAGACCAGGGAGGTTATCCAATGCTTCGCAAAGAAGGCCACCTATTGGTAGGTGGGTTTAAACAAATTGCAGACATTGAATATCCCTTTGAGCATGGTGAAGTTATTAATTACATGTTGGATGGTGTATCAATACACCCAGTCACTACAAAGATTCAGGCGTCCTTCCTAACTCAGTTGCCGGAGAGGAATGAAACCGCTCGGGGATTTCACCATGAGGCCAATGGTGACTTCAAAACAGTTACAGAGTTTAATGGCTGTGATAGGATAAAAATTTGAGTTATTCCACAATACTAATCTAATTGACAGAGGGAAAAGAAGGAAGCCTGTACAGAATAAAAAATATTTCAAAACATGCATCCTGTTTGCAACAAGGCACCAAAGTAATAATGCAAAAAAAATGTGGCAAAGCATTTAACTTATTATTCTGAATACAAAGTGTTTTATTTGGGGCAAATCCAATTCAACAAATTACTGATTAACACTCTCCGTATTTGCAAGCATAGTGGTGGCTGCATCATGATATGGGTATGCTTGTAATCGTTAAGGACTGGGGAGTTTTTCAGGATAAAAAAGAAACGGAATGGAGCTAAGCACAGGCAAAATCCTAGAGGAATACCTGGTTCAGTCTGCTTTCCACCAGACACCAGGAGATTAATTCACCTTTCAGCAGGACAATAACCTAAAACACAAGGCCAACTGGAGTTGCTTACCAAGAAGACAGTGAATGTTCCTGAGTGGCCGAGTTACAGTTTTGACTTAAATCAACTTGAAAATCTATGGCAAGACCTGAAAATGGTTGTCCAAAAATGATCAACAACCAGTTTGACAGAGATTTAAGAATTTTAAAAATAATAAAGGGCAAATATTGGACCCATGGAAATGAATTTGGTCAGACATTGATCACGCAAACAGATTTTTTTTATTTGTGGCATGGCGTCAGTGAGATTCAGGTGTGTTCAATTTGTGGGCGTGGCCATCACACCTGAACACACTTAAAAAGATAGAGGATAAAGAGAATGTGTTTGACGTTGAGAACGGAATGTATACTGTATGTTTTTCAATAACATTGTTAAAATGTTCTTTGAACGTTACTAATGTTTTCTTGTGGTTTTTATAGAAAGGTTTCTTAATGTTCTGAGAACATTACTTTAAATAGAGCCATGAGGAAAACCTGCAGAAAACGTTATACTGAAGTACTGAAATTCCAACAGAATAACTTTTTTTCAGGAAGGCACTTAATACTGCAAAAAGGCCAAAATGCAAAGCGTTACATTTGGGTCAAAGCCAACACAACATTTCATTGAATAACCCTCCAAATGTCCAAGCATGGTGATGGCTGTATCCTCTTATGGCTGTCATTGGCATGGAGCAGAGGAGTTTTGTCAGGATCAAATGGCAGGTATGGAGTGAAGCAAAGGCAAGGTCTTAGGCCTGCTTCAGTCTGCTTGAGACCTGACACTGGGAGAGAAAACAGTTTCTTACCAAGTCAAGACAGTGGAAACTCCTGAGTGTGACTAGGATTTAACTCCTTTTTATTTAGTGTTTGCTGTTATTAAATCAGTGTTTTCTCATCGCCAATGACAGAGGACAGATTTCATTACAGGAAATACAACAGCATACATAAAAATGAATAAAAGTCCTATTCACAATGGGGCTGTCACATTTTTGACTGCAATGATCCGCAAAGTGTGCAAAGTTGGTGGAAGCCTATCCAAAAAGAAAATAATATTTATTTGACATTTATTTTTTATTTTTGAAATTGTGAAGGTTTTGCAGAACATGGAGCATTGAAACAAGTTCATGAATTTTTATTCCAGGATGTAAGGACCACAGAAAACAAAATGTGAAAATTCTAAAAACAAGTTGCCACATTCTACAAATGGTATGTGTTGCAACAGAACACTGTATTCAAAGCTCAGTTATTGAACAGTGGATTTCGATAGCTCTGTGAGTGTGTGAATGCTTCTAGACAAAACATGCCACACCTCTAAATGATCACAGATAAATGCTGTAACTCGACACACCCTATATCATTTCACCTCCTTCAGCTCCAAGTCAAAATGCACCTTATTGTAAACATCCTCGTGAGTGTGCTTCTTCCCAAAGGTAAGAGGACTATCTAGGCCATAGCCTACGGTTTAACATGCATTTCGATTCTAATTTATTTTAAATGTCAAAATAGTACATAAAGAAAAATCTCTAAATATGGCTATAGCCCATATCATTTTTGTATTACTTAGTCTACCTTTGGCTGCATTTGGATTAATTCTGCTTTGAAGATCAAGTTCAGCAATTATTATACTTTTTTTTGCAATTTCAGTTTAGCCTATAGCCCGCAGTTTAGAACTATAATGAAGAAGAAATAAATATATAACTTCAACAGCATTGATCAATTTACCTTTTGAATGACAAACGCATTTCAGCCAAATAAAAAAGGGTCCACGTTTTAGTCTATTATATCCCTGATAATTTATGAAAATAATTTCAAATAATGGGATGCTGTAACTTTTCACCTTCTCAGCATATTCACTCAAGTGCTTTGAGTGCACACCAGGACAATCGGGAACATGCACGGACAAGCAGATTGACTGTCCTAATCCAACCCAATGTGGAAACACGCGGATTACATCCTATATGGGCAAATTAATGGCAGGTTCATTTAGCTCATAAATGTTAGCCTAACGATAAAACAAATATTCTGGTTCATTTTATTACGTTTTTTTACCTGTATGTTTTTTTCTTGACTCGACCTCTTCTTTCCATTTCCAGGCGATACAAAAGTATTAGATGTCAACGCGAAGTCTTGCGCGGTGCCAACTGAGAGTTTCAGTGCAGCAGTGAACTTCGGAATCTCGCGCACTACATCGCCAGCAAATGCTGCAATACAGACCTCTGCAACTCCCAAAGCGTCCCTGGTAACTATCTCAATGAGAATGTATAGGCTATGTTAGTTTATAATCAGAGGTGGGTAGAGTAGCCAAAAATTGTACTCAGTAAAAGTACTGTTACTTCAGAATAATATGACTCAAGTAAAAGTAAAAAGTAGTCATCCAATAATTACTTGAGTAAGAGTAAAAAAAGTACTTGGTGAAAAACTACTCAGTACTGAGTAACTGTTGAGTAATCATCTTTAATGATTACAAAATAGCTTAAATTAAAATAATTCAGGTAAATTCAAGTATTAAAAAATAAAATAATAATAAATTAAAAATAAATAAGCACAAGTAACACAAATTTCCAACCTTTATACTTTTTTTACCAGGCAGAACTAGAACGAGGCAGCCCATAAACTCTCATAAACTGTGTGTCTCCACATTGACAGAACAACAGAAGGAAACACACAAACATTTCATAACCAGGCATGCTGAACAGAAAACTGCACACCAGAAGGAAGCGGTCAACGTAAACTAATCAATAGGTGTTGATTTAGGCCTACTCAGTACCTTTGTATTGCATGGCAAGCAACAGCCCTTTTTCTGTGTGCCTAGAAATGAATACTCTGAATCTGTGAATTAGTGAAGGGCCCCCTGCACATCTACTGAGCATAGGATCTCTCTCACAACAACAACAACATTATTATTCTTAAAATCGATAGATCCCTCTTCTCATGAGATGTGCAGTGTTTTGCGCTAATCACAGATTCAGAGATTCATTGCTCTAGGCACCAGAAGAAAGGTCTGTTCTATTCGCATGCAATACCAAGTACTGAGTAGGCATAATCAACACCTATTGATTAGTTTTTACTTTTTACCGGACCGAGCGCTTTCCTTCTTTTGCGCAGTTTTCTGTCAGCAATTCTGTATGAATCGTTTGTGTGTTTCCTTCTGTTTGTTTCTGTCACTGAGTGGAGACACACAGTTTATGAGAGTTTTATGGGCCTGCCTCGTTTCGAGTTCTCTGTAAAAAAGTATAAAGGTTTGGAAATTTGGGGGGGGTGGGTGGGGTTACTGGTGCTATTTATTTTTATTTATTATTATTTTTATTTTTTAATACTTGAATTTACCTGAATTATTTTAATTTAAGCTCTTTGAATTCATTAAGATGATTACTCAACAGTTTACTCAGTACTTGATGTTTTTTTCATCACCAAGTCCTTTTTTTACTCTTACTCAAGTATTATTTGGATGACTACTCTTATTACTTTTACTTGAGTCCATATTATTCTGAATTAACAGTACTTTACTTGATACGCAATTTTTGGCTACTCTAGACCCACCTCTGATTATAAACTAACATGAGCCTATACATTCTCATTGAGATAGTTACCAGGGACCTTTGGGAGTTGCCGGGTCTGTATTGCCAGGCCATTTGCTGGCGATCGTAGTGTCGCGAGATTCCTGAAGTTCCTGCTGCAACTGAAACTCCTAGTTGCACCCCGCGGCAAGACTTCGCGTTGACAATCTAATACTTTTGTATCGCCTGGAAATGGAAAGAAGAGTCGATTCCAAGAAAAAAACATACAGGTAAAAAACGTAAAAAAATGAACCAGAATATTTGTTTTATCGTTAGGCTAACAGTGAATTTGAGCTAAATGAACCTGCCATTAATCTTTGCCCATATAGGATGTAATCCGCCGTGTTTCCACATTGGGTTGGATTAGGACAGTCAATCTGCTTGTCCGTGCATGTTCCCGATTGTCCTGGTGTGCACTCAAAGCACTTGAGTGATAGCTTATAAGGTGGAAAAGTTTACAGCATCCCATTATTTGAAATTATTTTCATAAATTATCAGGGATATAAAGACTAAAACGTGGACCCTTTTTTATTTGGCTGAAATGCGTTTGTCATTCAAAAGGTAATTGGATCAATGCTGTGAATGAAGTTATATATTTATTTCTTTCTTCATTAATATTTCTAAAACTGCGGCTTATAGGCTATTTGAAGAATCTCAAATACAAAATATATTTTGATTTGTTTAACACTTTTTTGCTTACCAGATGATTCCGTAGGTGTTATTTCATAGTTTTGATGTCTTCACTATTATTCTACAATGTAGAAAATAGTCTAAATAAATAAAAACCCTTGAATGAGTAGGTGTGTCCAAACTTTTGACTTGTACTGTACATGGATAAAAATGTTTTCACACTGGACATGAGACTTGCATTTGTTGTATTTTAGACCTGTTGAATCATAAGCTCTAAGTGTATTTGTCTTGATGTTTAAGTGACCACAGAAGTTAGTAAACGTGAAGACCAATGTGACAAACATGCTATGAAAAAGCTATTGTTTTATTAAAATTAAAATTAAAATTAGTTCTTTAAACAAAACTTTATTGCATTTGGTCATCCCCAAAATGTGGCCTTTGAAAGCCTTGATAACACCATCCTTCCTCAGTGAATGGTCTGCGGGAAGCTGACAACAGGGTGGCAGGTTTGATGATGCGCTGCGCTAGAGTTTCATAGCCCAGTAGACTCACCTGGGGATAGGGGGGTGGACACATGTACAGTGGGGAAAACAAGTATTTAGTCAGCCACGGGGTGAGATCTTACGTGGAGCCCCAGATCGAGGGAGATTATCAGTGATCTTGTATGTCTTCCATTTCCTAATAATTGCTCCCACAGTTGATTTCTTCAAACCAAGCTGCTTACCTATTGCAGATTCAGTCTTCCCAGCCTGGTGCAGGTCTACAATTTTGTTTCTGGTGTCCTTTGACAGCTCTTTGGTCTTGGCCATAGTGGAGTTTGGAGTGTGACTGTTTGAGGTTGTGGACAGGTGTCTTTTATACTGATAACAAGTTCAAACAGGTGCCATTAATACAGGTAACGAGTGGAGGACAGAGGAGCCTCTTAAAGAAGAAGTTACAGGTCTGTGAGAGCCAGAAATCTTGCTTGTTTGTAGGTGACCAAATACTTATTTTCCACCATAATTTGCAAATAAATTCATTAAAAATCCTACAATGTGATTTTCTGGAAAAAAATGTCTCAATTTGTCTGTCATAGTTGACTTGTACCTATGATGAAAATTACAGGCCTCTCTCATCTTTTTAAGTGGGAGAACTTGCACAATTGGTGGCTGACTAAATACTTTTTTTCCCCACTGTACATTTTTCTTAAAGTCTGGGAGACATTTTCAGGGAGGAGAGAGCATGAGTACCTTCAGGCTCTGATCAGTCCCTACACCCAAACGAGGGCATTGCGTTCATCCACCTCTGGCCTGCTGGCCCCCCTACCTCTGCGGAAGCACAGTTCCCACTCAGCCCAGTCAAAACTGTTCGCTGCTCTGGCACCCCAATGGTGGAACAAGCTCCCTCACGACGCCAGGACAGCGGAGTCACTCACCACCTTCCAGAGACACTTGAAACCCCACCTCTTTAAGGAATACCTGGGATAGGATAAAGTAATCATTTTACCCCCCTTACCCCACCCCAAAGAATGAAAGAAAAAAAAAAACATATTGTAAAGTGGTTATCCCACTGGCTATAAGGTGAATGCACCAATTTGCAGAGGTGGGTAGTAACGAGTTACATTTACTCCGTTACATTTACTTGAGTAAGTTTTTGAAAAAATTATACTTCTAGGAGTAGTTTTAAATCACTATACTTTTTACTTTTACTTGAGTAGATTTGTCAAGAAGAAACTGTACTCTTACTCCGCTACATTAGGCTACAATGAGGTCGTTACTTTTCTTTTTACGTCTTTGGTATTCTACGCGTCATTGTCTTTATCCCCCCGCATATGCCTTATTTTAATGTTTTATTTTGACAGAGAGAGAGAGACTTCCGCTAAGGCTCTACCACGTGACTGTGTTTCACCAATCAAACGTAGTTGTGCAGTCTCGTCACTTTACCATACTCAATCTCAGTGGCGGGACGGGTTGGCTTTACAGTCATAGCAACACAAAAATGTCAGAATTAGCCGTCGGCAATGCAGACACAGACGAGGAGGAACACCCGCACCCCTGGCCTCATATTGAAAGCATGTTTACCTTAGTAAAAGTGCGAAAGAACAGCTACATTATGCGGTGTCTTCTGTGTCTACCAAAACAAACGGACATTTCAGCATTCAAGAACTCAACATCTAACTTGAGGAAACATGTAGCGGTAAGTTTCCTAAATTCTTTTTTTTTGCTGTGGATAGGCGAATGTTTGTCTTTTAGGTTACATATGTTTTAAACATTTTCTATATATATATATATATATATATATATCCACATTTGATGTGATAATAAGTCTATTTTAATGTCTTGATCTCCCTGTAGCCTCACTTATTTTTTTTTTGTCCACAGAGGATTCACCCCAACAAACTGGCAAAGTACACAGACTTACTAGAGAACCACAGAAAGCGTAAGTCCTCCACTTCCAGTGATACTCTTGTGAAAAATGCAAAAATCACAGCCTTTGCTGCCCCAGGGCGGGTAACACAAGCAACGCTTGACAAGCTGATGCTACATTTTGTATGTGAGGCCAACCAACCATTTTCTGTGGTTGAGACGCCATCCTTCAATACTTTGATAGAAACCTTGCAACCTCATACAGTAATGACAAGGAAAACGTTATGCACAAGAATACAAGAAGCTGCAAAACACAAGAAGAGCATAATCATCAAAAAGCTGAGTGCTGTGAATTATGTTGCTAACGTAGCTACTTAGGTGTCACCTGTCACTGGATAGACAACACCTCACTGGAGAGGCACTCCACATTGGCTTGTAGACCTGTCAAAGGCTCGCACACGTTTGATGTCCTTGCTGCTGCATTCTGAGTACCACATCAGGGAAAAAGTGACCAGGACGACAGACAGTGGCTCAAACTTCCTTTCGATTATATGGTGAGGAGAAAGAGGAGGAAGCCATCAATGTACAAGAGGAGAGTGACTCCACCCTTGATGATGCAACAGAAGATCAGAGTGAGTCAGAGGTGGAGTATCAAGATGTCTGCAATTCTGGATGACAACACAGGCCTTGAGTACCAACTTCCAAGGCACCAAAAGTGTGCATGCCATCTCCTCAATCTTATATCCACAGTTGATGCCACTGCTGCAGGAGGAGCTGCAAACGAAACCTACAAGAGGCTGTCTCTGTCTGCAAAATGTCATGCTCTTTGGAATAAAACCAGCATGAAACAGTGGAACGTGAATGCAAGCTGCAGTTTCTCCGACCCAATCAGACACGCTGGAGCTCCCTGTTCCTCGCTGTAGAAAGGATTGTGCGCATTCACCGAGAGCAAGGAGAACAAGCAATTCGCAATGTCTGCACAGCATTAAAGATAAAGATGTAAGTTGACAAAATGTATATTTTGTTTTTAAAGAATAATAAAATTAAATAAGCCTTGCTGATTAATGGGTGAATCCACTTGTCTCAAGTAACTAAGTTTTCTTTGCATGGTGGTGTGACAATTGTGGATGACTTGAATGAAATATATATATATATATATATATTTTGTATTTAACATGTACGATGCATAATAAAGACATTGTACCAGAAATAGCTATAAGTAATTGTTTTATCGTTACATCTTTTATAGGTTCAATCCAGCTGAAAATGGGTTTTTGGTCGAGTATGCTGCTGTGATGAAGCCTGTTGCCATGGCCCTTAATATCCTCCAAGGGGAATCATCTGTGCATATGGGCCTCCTGCTGCCAACACTTTACCAGTTGCGGGACAAGCTGAAGAAGTTGGACTCAACTTGCAAAATGTGTACACCTCTTGTTCACGCCCTGCAGCAAGGGATCCAGAAACGTTTTGGAGATGTCATGAAAGTGCCTGAGCTGATTGCAGCAGCAATACTCCTACCAAGATTCAGAACATCCTGGACCACAGAGGAGAACATCTTAAATGCTGGTAAATATACTTGTTTATCAATTCAAATGTGAACCAGTAGACATTGACCTATATAACTCTGTATAATGTTACTGTCATTTAGGATTATAGTGTGTCAGTGACAAACCACAGGGTGGCAATATAGTTAGTGTGACTTTTTTTTTGCTGACTTTTCTTGTTAGATATTGGAACTGGAAGTAAACATAATGCCCGATCTACAACTACATCACTCTCCTCTAATGCCTTTTAGAGAACATGCATTCAGCTTAATTTGTGTTCTGGGATACTAGGCCTGCAATATTGTTTTATTTGGCCATCTATCATGGACTGGTGCTTTTTCAGTTGATGTGTACTGCTGCTCTTTTCCTCTGCTCAGTGAGATGTGCAGTGTGGCCTAATCACAGATCAGAGTATTCATTTCTAGGCACACAGAAAAAGGGCTGTTGCTTGCCATGCAATACAAAGGTACTGAGTAGGCCTAATCAACACCTATTGATTAGTTTACGTTGACCGCTTCCTTCTGGTGTGCAGTTTTCTGTTCAGCATGCCTGGTATGAAATGTTTGTGTGTTTCCTTCTGTTGTTCTGTCACTGTGGAGACACACAGTTTATGAGAGTTTATGGGCTGCCTCGTTCTAGTTCTGCCTGGTAAAAAAAGTATAAAGGTTTGGAAATTTGTGTTACTTGTGCTTATTTATTTTTAATTTATTATTATTTTATTTTTTAATACTTGAATTTACCTGAATTATTTTAATTTAAGCTATTTTGTAATTCATTAAAGATGATTACTCAACAGTTACTCAGTACTTGAGTAGTTTTTTCACCAAGTACTTTTTTACTCTTACTCAAGTAATTATTTGGATGACTACTTTTTACTTTTACTTGAGTCATATTATTCTGAAGTAACAGTACTTTTACTTGAGTACAATTTTTGGCTACTCTACCCACCTCTGATTATAAACTAACATAGCCTATACATTCTCATTGAGATAGTTACCAGGGACGCTTTGGGAGTTGCAGAGGTCTGTATTGCAGCATTTGCTGGCGATCGTAGTGCGCGAGATTCCGAAGTTCACTGCTGCACTGAAACTCTCAGTTGGCACCGCGCAAGACTTCGCGTTGACATCTAATACTTTTGTATCGCCTGGAAATGGAAAGAAGAGGTCGAGTCAAGAAAAAAACATACAGGTAAAAAAACGTAATAAAATGAACCAGAATATTTGTTTTATCGTTAGGCTAACATTTATGAGCTAAATGAACCTGCCATTAATTTGCCCATATAGGATGTAATCCGCGTGTTTCCACATTGGGTTGGATTAGGACAGTCAATCTGCTTGTCCGTGCATGTTCCCGATTGTCCTGGTGTGCACTCAAAGCACTTGAGTGAATATGCTGAGAAGGTGAAAAGTTACAGCATCCCATTATTTGAAATTATTTTCATAAATTATCAGGGATATAATAGACTAAAACGTGGACCCTTTTTTATTTGGCTGAAATGCGTTTGTCATTCAAAAGGTAAATTGATCAATGCTGTTGAAGTTATATATTTATTTCTTCTTCATTATAGTTCTAAACTGCGGGCTATAGGCTAAACTGAAATTGCAAAAAAAAGTATAATAATTGCTGAACTTGATCTTCAAAGCAGAATTAATCCAAATGCAGCCAAAGGTAGACTAAGTAATACAAAAATGATATGGGCTATAGCCATATTTAGAGATTTTCTTTATGTACTATTTTGACATTTAAAATAAATTAGAATCGAAATGCATGTTAACCGTAGGCTATGGCCTAGATAGTCCTCTTACCTTTGGGAAGAAGCACACTCACGAGGATGTTTACAATAAGGTGCATTTTGACTTGGAGCTGAAGGAGGTGAAATGATATAGGGTGTGTCGAGTTACAGCATTTATCTGTGATCATTTAGAGGTGTGGCATGTTTTGTCTAGAAGCATTCACACACTCACAGAGCTATCGAAATCCACTGTTCAATAACTGAGCTTTGAATACAGTGTTCTGTTGCAACACATACCATTTGTAGAATGTGGCAACTTGTTTTTAGAATTTTCACATTTTGTTTTCTGTGGTCCTACATCCTGGAATAAAAATTCATGAACTTGTTTCAATGCTCCATGTTCTGCAAAACCTTCACAATTTCAAAAATAAAAAATAAATGTCAAATAAATATTATTTTCTTTTTGGATAGGCTTCCACCAACTTTGCACACTTTGTGGATCATTGCAGTCAAAAATGTGACAGCCCCATTGTGAATAGGACTTTTATTCATTTTTATGTATGCTGTTGTATTTCCTGTAATGAAATCTGTCCTCTGTCATTGGCGATGAGAAAACACTGATTTAATAACAGCAAACACTAAAATAAAAAGGAGTTAAATCCTAGTCACACTCAGGAGTTTCCACTGTCTTGACTTGGTAAGAAACTGTTTTCTCTCCCAGTGTCAGGTCTCAAGCAGACTGAAGCAGGCCTAAGACCTTGCCTTTGCTTCACTCCATACCTGCCATTTGATCCTGACAAAACTCCTCTGCTCCATGCCAATGACAGCCATAAGAGGATACAGCCATCACCATGCTTGGACATTTGGAGGGTTATTCAATGAAATGTTGTGTTGGCTTTGACCCAAATGTAACGCTTTGCATTTTGGCCTTTTTGCAGTATTAAGTGCCTTCCTGAAAAAAAGTTATTCTGTTGGAATTTCAGTACTTCAGTATAACGTTTTCTGCAGGTTTTCCTCATGGCTCTATTTAAAGTAATGTTCTCAGAACATTAAGAAACCTTTCTATAAAAACCACAAGAAAACATTAGTAACGTTCAAAGAACATTTTAACAATGTTATTGAAAAACATACAGTATACATTCCGTTCTCAACGTCAAACACATTCTCTTTATCCTCTATCTTTTTAAGTGTGTTCAGGTGTGATGGCCACGCCCACAAATTGAACACACCTGAATCTCACTGACGCCATGCCACAAATAAAAAAAATCTGTTTGCGTGATCAATGTCTGACCAAATTCATTTCCATGGGTCCAATATTTGCCCTTTATTATTTTTAAAATTCTTAAATCTCTGTCAAACTGGTTGTTGATCATTTTTGGACAACCATTTTCAGGTCTTGCCATAGATTTTCAAGTTGATTTAAGTCAAAACTGTAACTCGGCCACTCAGGAACATTCACTGTCTTCTTGGTAAGCAACTCCAGTTGGCCTTGTGTTTTAGGTTATTGTCCTGCTGAAAGGTGAATTAATCTCCTGGTGTCTGGTGGAAAGCAGACTGAACCAGGTATTCCTCTAGGATTTTGCCTGTGCTTAGCTCCATTCCGTTTCTTTTTTATCCTGAAAAACTCCCCAGTCCTTAACGATTACAAGCATACCCATATCATGATGCAGCCACCACTATGCTTGCAAATACGGAGAGTGTTAATCAGTAATTTGTTGAATTGGATTTGCCCCAAATAAAACACTTTGTATTCAGAATAATAAGTTAAATGCTTTGCCACATTTTTTTTGCATTATTACTTTGGTGCCTTGTTGCAAACAGGATGCATGTTTTGAAATATTTTTTATTCTGTACAGGCTTCCTTCTTTTCCCTCTGTCAATTAGATTAGTATTGTGGAATAACTCAAATTTTTATCCTATCACAGCCATTAAACTCTGTAACTGTTTTGAAGTCACCATTGGCCTCATGGTGAAATCCCCGAGCGGTTTCATTCCTCTCCGGCAACTGAGTTAGGAAGGACGCCTGAATCTTTGTAGTGACTGGGTGTATTGATACACCATCCAACATGTAATTAATAACTTCACCATGCTCAAAGGGATATTCAATGTCTGCAATTTGTTTAAACCCACCTACCAATAGGTGGCCTTCTTTGCGAAGCATTGGATAACCTCCCTGGTCTCTGTGGTTGAATCTGTTGTTGAAATGCACTGCTCGACCTTACAGATAATTGTATGTGTGGGGTACAGAGATGACGTAGTCATTTAAAAATCACGTTAAAGACTATTATTGCACACAGAGTGAGTCCATGCAATTTATTATGTGACTTGTTAAGCAAATGGTTACACCTGATCTTATTTAGGCTTGCCATAACAAAGGGGTGAATACTTATTGACTAAAGACATCTTTAAATGTTTAATGCATTTTTTTGTTTTACTGGAAAAACATTATTCCACTTTGACATTATGGGGTATTGTGTGTAGGCCAGTGACAAAAAAAATCTAAATTTAATCAATTTAAAATGTAGGCTGTAACACAACAACATTTGGAAAAAGTCAAGGGGTGTGAATACTTTCTGAAGGCACTGTATATAAAACTAAAACATTTTTGACTGCACTGGGCCTTTAACATGCAGTGTGTATCTGACTCAGGTTTGTTAGATGCACAACAGTCATTTCTCCACTGTAGTAGCTGATGTGTGATGAGCTCCACCCCCTGCACATGGCATATTCTGCTCCCAAGTGCTTCAATCTGACCTGCACCTGGTTCAATGCGTTCCTCCCGAACGTTAAGCACTTTCTTTCTCTTTCTCTTCATATAAACTCAGCAAAAAAGAAACGTCCTCTCACTGTCAACTGCCTTTATTTTCAGCAAACTTAACATGTGTAAATATTTGTATGAACATAACAAGATTCAACAACTGAGACATAAACTGAACAAGTTCCACAGACATGTGACTAACAGAACTTGAATAATGTGTCCCTGAACAAAGGGGGGGGGGGGGGGGGGGGGTCAAAATCAAAAGTAACAGTCAGTATCTGGTGTGGCCACCAGCTGCATTAAGTACTGCAGTGCATCTCCTCCTCATTGACTGCACCAGATTTGCCAGTTCTTGCTGTGAGATGTTACCCCACTCTTCCACCAAGGCACCTGCAAGTTCCCAGACATTTCTGGGGGGAATGGCCCTAGCCCTCACCATCTGATCCAACAGGTCCCAGACGTGCTCAATGGGATTGAGATTCGGGATCTTCGCTGGCCATCGCAGAACACTGACATTCCTGTCTTGCAGGAAATCACGCACAGAACGAGCAGTTTGGCTGGTGGCATTGTCATGCTGGAGGGTCATGTCAGGATGAGCCTGCAGGAAGGGTACCACATGAGGGAGGAGGATTTCTTCCTTGTAACGCACAGCGTTGAGATTGCCTGCAATGACAACAAGCTCAGTCTGATGATGCTGTGACACACCGCCCCAGACCATGACGGACCCTCCACCTCCAAATCGATCCCGCTCCAGAGTACAGGCCTCGATGTAACAATAAATGCCAATTCGACCATCACCCCTGGTGAGACAAAACTGCAACTCATCAGTGAAGAGCACTTTTTGCCAGTGACGGTAGGTTTGTGCCCATAGGCGACGTTGTTGCCGGTGATGTCTGGTGAGGACCTGCCTTACAACAGGCCTACAAGCCCTCAGTCCAGCCTCTCTCAGCCTATTGCGGACTGAGCACTGATGGAGGGATTGTGCGTTCCTGGTGTAACTCGGGCAGTTGTTGTTGCCATTCTGTACCTGTCCCGCAGGTGTGATGTACGGATGTACCGATCCTGTGCAGGTGTTGTTACACGTGGTCTGCCACTGCGAGGACGATCAGCTGTCCGTCCTGTCTCCCTGTAGCGCTGTCTTAGGCGTCTCACAGTATGGACATTGCAATGTATTGCCCTGGCCACATCCTCAGTCCTCATGCCTCGTTGCAGCATGCCTAAAGAACATTCACGCAGATGAGCAGGGACCCTGGGCATCTTTCTTTTAGTGTTTTTCAGAGTCAGTAGAAAGGCCTCTTTAGTGTCCTAAGTTTTCATAACTGTGACCTTAATTGCCCACTGTCTGTAAGCTGTTAGTGTCTTAATGACCGTTCCACAGGTGCATGTTCATTAATTGTTTATGGTTCATTGAACAAGCATGGGAAACAGTGTTTTAAACCCTTTACAATGACGATCTGTGAAGTTATTTGGATCTTTACGAATTATCTTTGAAAGACAGGGTCCTGAAAAAGGGACGTTTCTTTTTTTGCTGAGTTTAGTTTATTGATGGCTGTCACGATCGTCGAATACAGTGGACCAATGCGCAGCGTGATAAGTGAACATACTTCTTTATTAATGTCACCACACAAACAAAACAACAAACGATACGTGAAGTCCTTGGTCTACAACACCAAACCAACACGGAACAAGATCCCACAACACACTGTGGAAAACAGGCTGCCTAAGTATGGTTCCCAATCAGAGACAACAAGCAACAGCTGATACACGTTGCCTCTGATTGAGAACCACACCGGCCAACATAGAAACAAATGAACTAGATAATCACCCTAGCACACAAAACACATAGAAACAACACACCCTTGCTCAACTTAACAGAGTCCCAGAGCCAGGGCGTGACAATGGCAGTAGGATGTGCCTATCACTCACATGGACTTCTTGGCATGGTACATGACGTATGATTCAATCCCTGCTGACTAATGTGTATTAGTCTTGTAAGTGCTTGCATACTTTTCAATACATTACACTAAGGTGTGGTCTCCATGTTCCCAAGACTTATAGCTAAAAGTTTTAAACTTGACTCAAATATTCTGTTCTGACACAAACGTGCCTTCTCTAATGGGGGAAGATTCCTGCAGTTTCACAATAAATGGCAAGAGTTTTCCCTTCTGTTCTCAATCCAACAAGGATCATTGAGGTTTAGAATACTCTAATAATATTTATCCCAGAGATGTTATGAGCGCTCAGGAAATCTGACCACCCATGTAATCAAATAACAATAATGTTATTTTTCTGGACAAAAAAGTAACATTTATTTAAAACACTTAACCCTAGTTGTTCCTGTAAGTCCCTCTGTATAAAAACGTCAGCTAAATTACTAAAATGTATATGCAATTTGTCCAATAGAACAGAATTGAACAGACTCCTGTGATA